ATATATACACACACACACACACACACACACACACACACACACACTCTTGTTGAAGTCATTTTTTAATATTAAAATATTTGGGCGTGATAAACATTCTCAAATTTAAGCATAATATTTAACGTTCTCTATAAACTGCCAGAAAAATGACCTTCATGGGAAAATGTGTTTTAAAAAAAATAAATAAATAAAACTTCCTCTGTCTGTCTTCTGAAGTGTCCTCGCTCTGAAAACCAGGATCTCCTAAGCTCTCTGGCTCTTTCTGTTGATGCCCCTAATTTACTTTTCTTCAGCCCTCAACACCATCATAAGCCTGTTTAGCGGCTGCCTCATTCTTACTTCGCCGTATGGTGCAGAAATAGGACACAATCTCTTTTTCTCTCCATTTTGAACAATAGAGACCTTCCCATTTTTTTGGTTATACTTGGGTCTCGATTTTAGACATTGCTGTCCGGGATTTAAAAAAAAAAAAAATCTTTTGCAATTTTTGTTTGGTTTTTCCAATTTAAACCCCCCCAAAAAACATTGAAATGCTATTGTTTTCGCTTTTGTTTGAGTCATGATTCATAATTAATCCGCAAGTGTGTGCACTGTAATTTAACTGCTGATTAGCAGATTCAATAGGATGCAGGTTTTCTTTCCTTTTTTTTTTTTTTAATTAAAGTGTTTTTTAAGTCCAGATGGGTGGCATTTTGAATTAAAAACTTACGAAACAATTCTCATTTGCTTATTTCTTCAAACTTCAACATTTAAATGATCATCTTCCATGAACGGTGATTCCATAAACTTGGCCAGGGGTTTCATCTAATGTCACAAGCTGGTCACGATGAAGACAGTGTGTCAGAGCAGAGGGTGGCGCATAACGACTCTTGGCACATACATCAGTGGCCGACTTTTGAGGTTACAACATGAGATCAGTAGTAATTATCAATGGTACACTGGTGAGGACAAGTCAACAGACCATCTGGCACACAGGAGGTCTGCCCAACAGACAGTAATCAAGAAACACATTTTCAAAGTCACATTTCTATTGCACTTTGAATCTAATCATTTGAAATGGAGGTAGAACATCGAACAAAACTCATCAGTGCAGGGTGCTTGCATTTATCGTGATGCCAGTTTGTGTAACTTGCCCCGGTCCTGGACAGGGAACAAATTACACAGAAAATAAATGCAAGGTAGCAGTAAAAGGATTCGGAAAAACAATATGTAAAATGGTTAAATTTATTCTCAGACTAGAACAGTAGCAAATTACAGCACATTGACCCAATTATAATGAAAATCATTTGAGTGTCTTCTCTGGACAGCAGCTTGAGAGGCTCAATTGGCATAAATGTCCTGTCTGGACCAAACACCATGCAATTATTGCCATGAAAGAAAAAAAGTAGGGGGAAAAAAAAATTCTTAAAATGTCTAGCCTGGGTATTAACTAATTAAAAAGGCTCTTATGTACACACTTAGTCAAATCTCACACGAGCTCACAGCCATACTGCCTTTTTATTGAAAACCCAACAAAGGGAATCTAAAGAATAAGGTTTTAAAAAAATAGCTTTGTTTTCATCATGATATATTGAAAATTTCTACCACCATGTAGTCACGTCATCAAAAGGGTCATTTAGCTGACCTCACCTCTTCTACTCTACCATGATGGCGCCATAAGACATCAATGATCATCCTCCACCACCACCACCAATTTTAAGCACAGTGAACACGGCTGAAGCATCATTACATGCCTGGGAGCTTCATCAGCTTTCCTGTTTGTCTTTGACCAAAAGGACTGTGTGCTGCCCCCCACTGGACACCATCAGTACTGTACAGTTTTCCAGCTGCTTGCCAGTCATTTTCACAGGGCTCCACTCGTCTTCTTCCTGCCCGGTGCCAAGTTGTAGGTTGGTGCCCATTCCCCAAGCGTATGCACACCCTGGAGTAGGCACAGCCAAACGTTAGGCATTTCAAAGCAAACATTAAAACAACGAATGCGGTCAAAACTGCATTTGAAGAATAGGTTGGCACTCGCCACTTATCTGGAAGCGTTTCTCACCTTCTTTGGTGACAGCAAAACTGACAGACGCCCCACATGTCACTCCGCTGGCTGGTTCAATCCCACTGACGATTGTGGGCTCGCTTTTCTCTGCAGCCTCTTCACCAAGGCCAAGGCGCCCATACTCTGCTCTGCCCAGGCTGTACACCTGTCCTGTTGAAGGGGGGGAATGAAATTGAGTTTTGCACAAACAAAATAGCGGCTTGAAATAATCCTTCAGTTTACCTTCAGAATCCAGGCAGACAGTGTGGTGCTGTCCTCCAGAAAAATCAATCCAAGTTGAGGTCGAATTTTTGAAGGAGCTCAGTTTCACAGGGACAAAATGCATCTTCGTGCTTTTTGTGCCTAGATGGATGCGTGAATAAAACATAAGCTTGTCAGTTGGTCACATCACCAAGTTTTTGTTGTTGTCTTAAACCAGTGGCGTGGACGCAGGATTTTGCTAACACTGGAAGGGTTGCCAGAGTAGACTACTAAACGAAATCAAAGTTACGTTTTGCAACAGGAGTATTTTGGGACCATTTATAAGGTCCACAACACCGATTACTGAAAGGTGATCTCAGTGGTTCCCCCGTCTAGCCAAATTGGCACGTCACAATAACTTCCATAAGTGATGAGACTTACTTTCATTAAAAAGTATTTCACATCCCTTGTATGGACATACACAATTGTATTATGTCGATTATTTTGGATCACAATGTGAAAATGTGTATCTGTTGGAGAAGGAATGCCACATACAAGTGCAGGCTATGAAAATAGTGGCACACTTACCCAACTGGTGATAGTTGGACAGGCCGAAACCATATACGTGGCCGTCTTTGGACAAGGCAAATGTGAAGTAGGCCCCGCAGAAGGCGTCGATGAAGTGAACTTTCCCTTTGACTTTGACCATCTGAGGAATCAACAGACGATCTACAAACACATGAACAAGAACTGAACACTTATAGCACATGGGACATACATGACAAATATTACTACAGCGGTGGAGTTCTGCTTCTCACCGAGGCCTTTCCTTCCTCCCCTATTTGAGAATTGCTCGGGCACCCTTCCTAGCTGCCCCTGTTCAGCAGTGCCTGACGTGTACAGATTTCCCTCCATGGTCACCATTACAAGATGGTCATTGCCTGTAAAAATATTAGAATAAAAATGTTATAAGCCTTTTTGCTTCCACTCATAGGTAAAAAGGATGCGATGGTCACATGATCCATTGCTACCTGATGCAACTTTCACGACAGTTTCTGTCAAGGGGACTTGAGTTGGAACATCGGTTGTTTCCAAAGCATCCAGGAGACCTATAACGCCGTTACTATCCTGTGGAGAAAGGAGCAACATTAATGAGATGAAACCGCCCAGAAACAGTGCACAGCCAGTTTGGCAGTAGCTGTCATGGTGCATCGTGACACAAGAACAACAAATCAAGCCTTGACCCAGAAAACCCTGAGAACGTTGATGGAATCCTTGCTGACTTCATATATGTATACATTTGTATCAACCAATCTGATTGGACATACGAATGCTGATCAAACAGTTCCTGTGCTGTGTACTTCAAGCTGTACGTGAGATTTCTTCAGGGAAATCTGCTCCAGTCTTAATAAAAGGAGTGGGAATACAGGCGGTAGGCAGAGATAATAGAGATGTAATTACCAGTGTGCCACTGAGTACTGTATTAATGAAAAAGCAATGACTAAAAAACAAAAAATATATAAATATCAGCGACAAACGTTAGGCCCAGAGGGATGAAAAAACCCAGTGAGATTGAACTGGGGTTAGAACTGTACTTTAACTTGATGAATTTCTGTCTCCAGGTCTTGAAATGTTTTAATAGCGACGTATGTTAAATATGCCCGGAGATGATAAGGGATTGCACCGCATTATTGGGGTGTGCGCGTACGTATGTGTGTGCGATGTCTGAGCTGATCCTCAGATGACGGGGAAAACTGTATTCGGAATCAACTAAGTGGTAGCAAAAGATGAAAGACAACAAACTGACAATGGTAAGACATGGCGCAGGAGACTGAACAACACAAAACTTGTTTTTGGACAGCTTGTGGTGGAAGGGTTGGGCTCAAATGAATCGTTTCCTGCAAATAACATGCAGGAATGTGACAATTGTGCCCCCCCCCCCCCCACAACATTTATTGTAAGTAGAAGAGCCACTGATGTTAAACTCAACCCATGCAGTCAGTGTCGCTCTAGGCATGTTTCATAGTTGCATCTAAACGAATATACTGTACTTGTTTTGGCATGAACAGCCCTTTCTCAGTCTTGCTTTTGTTGTTTAACAGTCTGATGTGTCACACAAGCAAAAAACATGAACATGTATCTTTTCCCGCGATACGTTTACACTTTTAACCAATCTTGAAGGCCTGGGAGGAAAAAGTAAGATAACTGACCCTGAAGGTGCCCCATACATATACGTTTCCTTCCTCCGTGAGTGCAGCTGTATGACTGTCTCCTGCTGACACCTGGACCACTTTCTCCTCGAGCGCCACCTTCCCTGGAGTCATCTCAGAGCCCACTTCTATCGTGTCTCGACCAAGGGCCCTTTCATCATTGCAGCCAAAAGTGTAAACCTAAGGAAAAGGTATTTGCTCATATTAAAAGTCTTCTTTGAGATTGGGTCTCTTTTTCAACAGGTCAAATGCATCCTTAGGTCCCTGAAGTGTCATTTTGGGTGCCTTGAATGGCACTGCATATTGCGAGTGAAAGTCATTCGTATTACTTACCACGCCAGCGTCGCTGAGGCACACTGTGTGCATACCCCCAGCGACCACCTGCACGATTTTCTCAGGTAGGGACAACAGAGCAGGCTTCTTCCTCTGCATGATGTCCTCTCCTAAACCCAGCTGTCCAACATCACCCTGGCCCAGAACAAGAACGTGACCCGCCTCCTTACAATGACTCCTGTGGTAAACTGGTACAAATCCATTGATCAATGAGTTGACAGCATTAATTTCAAGTCACCATACGAACTACTTCGGAACTAAAATGTTCTTGATTCGACTATAGTCACCTTTTTTTGTGTTTGTTTTTATTATCTTATACGCTGTGAATTGTTAAAAGAGTGCTATAGAGTTGACAAATGCCATTGTTCATAAGTGTCATAACCCTGAGGGAAAAAAATCCATATCAGTTGGGCCCTCGTAGTTACACTTCTTGACTCGGACCTGCCAAATAATCCATCTATCCACTATCTGAACGGCTTATCTTCACGAGGGTTGCGGCGTGCTGAAGTGTATTCCAAATATTGGCTAGTCACCCACTTTTGCTTACAGAAAGACATACCAGCTGAGAATCACTGCACGACATGACTAGTTATTTAATGCAAATAAAGTTAGTATGACTTGAAAGGGCGATTACCTTTGACTTTCTTAGCGTCTTTCACCTCTTCAACCGCGTCCGACTTCCTTTTTGGGGACATTTTTTAGTGGCCAAGACAGGAACAATTGAATCCTATAGGGAAGACATGGGGGGGACCTCAATTAAAAAAACGTATGAACATTTCTACTCCTAAATGCAAAACGCGTTTTCTTATAAATACCGTATATTACTTCAAATCAAGAATCAGTATCCTTAATGTCTATGCGGAAGAATAAGAGAGGCATTGTATTAGTGTAGAAAAAAAAAAACAGTTGGTTGGCACCTCAGGCTTTCGCCCCACCCGACTCAAATCCGCACTTGCTCCGTTCCTACTCTTGGGCATGGGAATGCCAAGTTCTGTTCGAATTCAAACGCACTTTTACCACAGCCAGAACATACTTCCCCGTTGATGCATGAAGTTTGTAATAAGGATGCGAGGGGAGGCTTTCAACCGCTAACACGCTTTCTTCAACATTTTGCAAGCGTCGGACGTTAGTAGCATTGTGGTGCGTTGGCAACTTCCGTGTGCCAACCGAGGCTCATATAGCCTAGAGTTAGCGTGCAGTAACTCTAATCACACCAAAAACACGTTTCCAAAATAAAACGACAACGTCCTGGTTTTGGAGTTAAATGGTACACAATTGCAGCACAAAAAAATGAAACTTTGCCGCCAAAAATGACTTCACAGCACAGATATACAGTACACGGCATGGTATGATTCAACCACTGCTAGCATTAGTTAGCAGCTTCAGCGTGGCATTCAGAAAAGCTTGAGACTTAACCACAGACACGTGCAGCTTTGTGCTGGTGCTAAGATCTACGCTAAACCGTTTTATGTGAGTCGCACAACAAGACAGATGTATGTGTTAAATGTACCAACCTGGGAGTAGTGTAAATGTGCTCTAAATGGCTAGCATAGGCAACACGCAGCCTACTCCAAGTCTCAGTAGCTGGATGACTATTCTCGCGATAATTCTGGCCGTGATTTAGGCGCTCCGCCTCCTTAAAGCGACAGGATTCGAATCGCTGACCTCTGTCTGCACTGTGTGGCGAACGTGCTAACCAGTCTAACAGTGTGCGCCTTTTTCCTAAATAATCGATGCAAATAAAACTCAGCATACATTTCAAGTCATCAACCATCGGAGTATAATTTGAATCCTATAACCTATTAATGATAACAGTTGTTTCGGGAAAAAATACAATTAAACGCACTCTTCCACGTGATTACGTGGAACAGTTTTTAGACATGATACACGTTGAAAAGAACTGCAAATAGTCGTTCGTTGAATTTGAAACATTAGATCATGGCCTATTTACTGAAAAATAATGAATCAAAAATATCTCAACGGGTCAAGTTAAATTTTAAAATGGGACCCCTAAATTGATAGTAGCTCCACAATTCTTGCATCCATTAATTTTGTGACTTTTGGAGGGAAAAGTTTTGGATAGTTGCTGTATGAATTTCTTTGCAGCCTCCCAGAGCTTATTGGATCATTGGGGAGAGTTTGCTCATAAACAGTTTATTGCAATTACAATTTTACTCTTATGGTAGATGACTTCAAAACACTGCTGATTGTCATTTGCATTGACCATTTTGGAAATCTGAGAGAAATATCGTTTGGAAAGGGGTGACAATGGCCATACTTTGCCCACCCCTGCCTTAGATCTTCATTTAGAATCTCAAAGGGTACTTTTTGTCCATTGTAATTAGCCGAATTGGTGGTTGACATAATACTAAAACCTTGTACGTATTTCCTTTTTTCCACTAATGTACAGCAATCTCACCAATAACCATATTTGCTTGAAAAATCTTAACTTAACATACCAGGTGACTGGTGTCACAAAAGGTATATTTGAATTACAAAGTTTTCCCTTCGTGTCTTAACACATAAAATTTGACCGTTGGTGTCTCAATGTACATTCCCAACCTTCAATAAGGATTCACCCAGGGTCCTTTGCAGCATCTTGATGTCATCCACGTTCCCAAAACAGACCTCATTGATCAGTCCATGACCTAGGGTAAACAGGGGTGGAAATCACACACAGACAGGTTAGGTGAGTAGGGATGATTATTGCACAATGAGCAGGTGCGTTGTAATGGTGAAGCAATCATGCGTTGTCCTGCTACCGGTATCGCCTCTTCCCGCACACCGACGTGAAGTTAAATCTTTGGAGACATGCTGGGCCACATTGAAGTATCTAAGGGGTCAGGCAATGGCTGTCACGGCTCACCTGTTTTCTGGGTTTGGTCATATGATGTTCACAAGAAGAGCCCTTCGGCACCCTGATGTCATTTTCAGCCAACAGCTAACGGCAAAATGGCCACCCCATGACATGGATGAAAACGGGTGGATTTTTCTACTTAATTTATATTCCACAAACACATTTTTAATCAAGACTGCTGTGTGTAGACCAATGGGGGCACATAGAACATACTATAAAAACAAGTTTTCACTTGACTTCCCCTTTAATAAATACACCAGTTGTCACTGGATCGATCCCTAGTTCTCGCTTGACAGAGGATTAGACAGAATTGCTCTTTGAACAACAGAAAGAGTGATTTAATTGCCGAGCAAGTGTTGAATCATGGCACAAAAGGTTCAAGCTGTAAGATTTTTAATTAGATCCAGAAGTCACTATGTACAATTAAAACAAAAACTACTATCAGTCCGTACATGTTCACATTCAATTAAAAATGAACTCAGCTTTACAGAGAGGGTACATATTCATTCCCATTCTTGTAGCATTTAATCATAAACTAAGATTCCGTTCTTAAAAATAGCAACCTATAATACTTTATTTAAAATTTCTTTTCAAATGAAAGGAAGACAAGATATACACAAGCGTCAGTGAAACCTACAATCCACCTGTACACAGATTAGAGAACCCTGTCAGCTACTGGCCAGATGAAACTACAAAATAAAACAGTTGCAGATAAAAAGTTCCAGCCAAAACGATCCCCTGTTGACCGTTCATATATTTTCAGATTTTTTTTTTTGTTTTTGATAAACCCCTGATCTATCACAGCAACTTGCATTGTATTCTTGGTCAACAACACCAGCATGACCTGATACAAAATGGCTACAGATATGCATTGTGTGAATAAAGGGTAGTACAAAACTCATACAAAAGTAGAAATGAAGAGTGTTTCCAGACCCAATGACATTGAGATTCATGTTGGCTCATGCAGATTTCAGAAATGACTGTTATGAACACCAATATCCTATCGTTTCCTTAGGCATTGGGTACATTGGCACACAAATTTACCTACAGCATCCTGGCCTGCACCTTCTGTGCTTTTTCTAAAGACTCACGCTTAAACGGCCACCTCACAACACGACTTTAAATACAGGCAAGCCAAAGAAATCTAAAAAACAAACAAAAAAAAAAGGTCACTACTCGTGATCAAACTCATGATATAGAATATCTTGTGTATTACACATATTGGAATTAGATATGAGATTCAATCGAAGATATTATAATAGAAATCTGTACAGTTCATATAAAAACACAATATCCCAGAGATGTCCAATCCTAAAACAGAAAATCCCAGTCTGCATCCTCCAGTCCACACGCACTACAGCCATGTATCTCAATAGTTAGTACTAGAAATTACCATTTTTGTTAGCTATTATTACTTTATGTTCTCACATAAACAAGATGAATGAATTAGCGTTTCCATACACGGTAAAGAAAAAAGGCAACAGAGAATGAGGCCGCATTAAAGGTATTAACTCGATCCAGGTCCCCGAGGACACCACATTACAGCAGAGGGGGGGTAGAAGCCCCGCACTGTCGGTCCTTTGCAAATGTCTCCATTTGGTTGGCACGTGGTTCCCCCTGTTGTCTGGGATAAATACTGCATCTTCTTCCACCACCTGATCACTGAAAACAATTGTGATGGAGGTGAAGCGAGAAGCATTCTTGTCTCTAGTCAGTTCCAGGCTGTCCCTGATAAATTGTACGATACATTCAGGAAACGAGAAAGGGCCGATCTGTCTGCATAGTCAACAGCTGCTTGCCACAGAGACTTTTAAGTGCTTCTTTCACCATCTGAAGAGTGTGGATGCTAAGGCCGGTGATACCTAAAAGGAAACAGACATCAGCTGTAAACAGGCACAAAGACTGTATCTGTAATGCCATCTCTTCTGTTAAGACTCTGTCAAGTAAATTCTGAAATTTGTTTTGGAAGACATGATATATATTTGAAGATAATTGCTGAAAATGTGCAAAGTCTGAGAACTACTTTGTATGTCGTAATGAATTGTTTCGCTCTTGCGCTGAACTGTTTTTCACCATTTCAGTTTTTCTGATTTTTTTTGTGAGTGCCTAAAACGGGGTCAAGCCAGCATGAGTGGCCACTCTTCCACTTTATAAGAACTTGAGGACCTCAGTTGCATCAGTGGTTGTCCTTGAACCTTGGGGATTTTATTTCATGCCATGTCTTGTGGAAATGTGTGTTGGTATGACCCCCGCCACCCTCCCAAAAAAATAATACATTCCATGAATCCTTGAAAACTGAACTTTAAAGATAACTTGAAATGGCAATGAGACAGTGATTAAATTAGGAAGAAAGTAAATAAGAATAATAAATAAATGCAATATATGTAATATAATAAAATTATAGCAATCTGTCTGTTCCTGTGCATTTTGGCCTCTTATGGTCAGTGTGGTGCCATGCAAGGATGGAGTACTGTACACACTTATTATGAGAACAGAAGAAAGTTGCATTTGAACCCAATATAACTTCACAGATTGGGAAGAATTTGTGCTTTTGAGTAGAGTATTATTCCCCATTTGTATGTGTTTCTACAACGTTTGTGTGAATATTCGTTATTTGAGGAAAAATCATTCCCAAAGTCAATGCTAACTTCCCGTTAGCATTTGAATGGGATCCACCACTGACTTTAGTATTAGCGCGAGTCATGTTTTAAAAAGAAGTACGTTTCGTATTTAGATATATAATATGTGTAATTTTTGTTGTGTTATGCAGTAAATGCCAACTGGTTATGATTCAACAGTTTAAGTCCAGAAGAATCAGGTACAGAAGAATCACATATACTACGCGCTTGCTATGCAACCATCATGGTGCATTCAGGGTACTTCCACAACATCGGGAACTTGTAAAGGCACTGTACCGTTCTGCACATTAATTGTTTTTCTTTGATTACATTTTAAAGATCGAGAGAATGCAACATCAAAATCATGGTTAAATTAAGATTAACCGTCCAGCCCTACTGTCGAGTGTCTCGTCGCGGCGTGAAAATGCCCTGTGACGACCCCGTACAGTATATTCCAACCACTGGAGGCTTTCAGCGTATTTCCTTTTGGCCAATGAGAGTCGTTTTGGCATAAGAAAGTAGCATCTATTTTTCAGCAGGGCATAGGTTCATGCATCTCACGGACACACCCACAGCGTTTGCGAGCAGAGACAAAATCCTGATTTTTCACAAGTTGAAGCCTCATATTCTATGATTGCCAATTGCCTAAATCATTCAATTCATCTTTTCTGTCACGTGTCAAATTTTGAAGACATTTTCACAGATGAAGGTATACAAACCTTGTGTAGATTTTGCTCTCTTCGTGAACCTCCATTTCAGTGCTTTTGTAATCATTAAGCTCTTTCCGGATGGCTGCCTAGAAGAAATAATATGGACAATATATATTTGACCACAGTGAACAGTAATAAGAGACAAGTTTTATATCGCTGATATGCCGAGTGAATACCTTATCAGCAGGGGTCAGTTTGGTCCACGGCTTGTCCGCCCTGCGGTCGTAGTCTTGGGCATCTGTGACTTCCACATACTCGTGGAATCGCAAAATTTTTCTGGCCTGTAATTCTGCTACGGTGGGTCTTTGACTCAGCTACAAATAAGGATTTAGGAAAGTTCGAGTTCAATCTTGAGCAAATCTACAAATGGACGCATGTCAGTAAAATACATCAGGCGCTCACCTTTCTGGTCAGTCTTCGCTTAATCTCTCTAACCTCTGCTTGCCTGTCAGCTTGATTTTTGGCTATAACAAGACAGGGAATAAAACAACAAAGGGGCTTTATTTAGACACCGTAGTCAAGTCGGGCTTGATAAGCAGACAAAGGAGATAAAAAGCAGCTCACAAAATTAGATTGCATTCAGTTATTGAGGGTTTTTTCTCTCTCTACCTTTTCTCCCAATGATACAATACATGTAATTGTTAAGTAATGCTTTAGGAGTATGCAAATGTTTTAATATACAGTACATACATGAAGTAAACAAAAACCTTTGTTACCGGACTTCAAATGTCAGCCAGAGCAATGAATGAAAAAGTTGAGATTTCGGTTGTACATAGAAACTAACTGAAATGGGAGTGACGGAATTTCATTAAAATTCAAAAATATTTGATCTGAAGTCGATAGCGTTGAGTTGTAGCATGGTACTCCTAAATGAGTCATACAAAAGGTCGAACAGGAAAATAGAAGTTGACACTAACGTTGGAGGATGTTTCTTTGCTCAAGCTCCTCAGCAGTGGGTCTCTGGCTTAGACGTCTGATGGGAAGAAAAGCGGGCAGGTCTATTATTAAACAATTTCACTGCTTTGTAATTCAAGCCGTAAATACAACAGAAGATTTTAGAACCTGTCCACGTATTTCATTTCAAATTGCAAACACACTTGCCGTTTAGAATGATATAAAAGCAGTGTTATGATGTTGCTTTTTACCTGGTAAGCGCAGTTCCAATCTGCGTGCGAATGGCCTCCCATTGCTCTCTACTCTGCCAGGTGAGGCCAGCCTGTCCTGGTAGCTGGTCATCTCTGGTGCTTCTCTCCTGTGCAAATCTGTCCCTGTCAGGTGCAGAGGGACGGCTGCTCAGTTTTAGAGCCAGAGTGTCTTTCCTCTTCACTTTGCTGGCCAGGGCACCTGGAGAACAAACAGACGAGACAAGTATGGCAATTGTTTTTTTTTTAAGACGGTTAACTTTTTTGGAAAAACCTATTCTGCTGATCCTACGAGCTGAAAAATGTAGTCTGTACATGTTTCACTCCAGCCGTGATGGTAGCAGTAATGCACATCATGATCCGGGTACGTATACCATTTTACAGTGATTCTAATAACTGTACATTAGCCATCCATGAGAGATCACAAGGTGGGATATGATCCAGTGTCACTTAATTACTCCGAAAAATATTTTTCATCCACTACAAATCTCCGTTTTCATCTATGAAAGAACCCATAGTGACAGGCAGGCTAATTCAACCCTTTTCCACTAGAGGGCAGAAGGTGGGTCCACACAGAATCCTTCAGTGATGATGAAAGTGTATTTAAATACTGAAACTCTGAGGTCTAATAAGTGGCAAACCATTTGCGCACATACCAGTAAAATAAGTCTCTTGAAATTTTTGTCCTTTGTTTTATACATTTTCCCCCCTTTTACTGGTTTCACTTGACTTTGGTATGTCTCACACACTTTTCTACCAACTACGAAGTATATAGGTAGTTAAATTACCCCCCACCCCCCTTCCCCCAAACACAGATGTTTCTGTTGAACAGCCATTTTGATTTTGTAACATTTGCCAAAAATCAGAAAACAACTCATCAAGTTTATCGGCAAGCTCTGCAGGAGCCTAACAACGATACTGATCATCTGAATGAGGTGTGTTGGTGACGGGAACATCTAAAACATGCAGGATAGCCGGCCTCAAAGACCAAAGTTTGACACCTTTGTTCTAACCTATTACTGTTCACCCTGTGAACACGAGCACATTATTTAATGTTTTCTTATTAAAAAAAAAAAAGTGTAGGACCTCAATCAATATATATTTCTAACATCATAACATTTACTTGCAATGAATATGAAATTCAATGGAAAACCTCAACATTTTGTTCCTGAAATAGAGAAGTCTAAAAGCCACCATATGGTGATATTGACTCGGGTATTAAGCTGTGTATCCACCAGTTGCCATTCATATAATAAAATAATAGTTTTAAAGAATAAATAAATGTGGCCATATTTCACACAAATTAAAACTGTGAATAAATTGAGACAAAAATCATCAATTACGTCATTATATTTACCCTTTGTGACGTTGTTTTTGGTGGTGTGCCACAAGCTTTTTTAATCTATAAAATGAGTATTGGCTCAGAGTTTGGGAAGCACTGTTCTACGGGTTTCCTAAAGAAAATACAAAATCTTGGACTGTGCTATTCAGATGACCTAGATTTATAGTTATGCCGGGAAGAAACATACATGGATACTTGTTTAAGTCATGATATGACGATGCTTACTCAGTGGCTCTTCCTCCTCATCTGATTCTTCCTCTTTAAAAGGCACAGGACCATCTGAGTCACTATCTTCTCTGTGAATGTCATTCTCTTCATCCTCTTCATCATTCTCCTCCTCTTCCTCACTGTTTTCTTCACCGGGGATGACACAAACTCCAGTATCGACAACCAAGCCGCAGCGACTCCGTGGCTCTAGCTTAGGCTGGGGTATCTCCCCGTCGTACTCCTCCTCTTCCTCGTCATCGTCCTCCTCTTCTTCCTCCTCTTCAGAGTAGTCGTCTTCAGATCTAGCAGAAAATAAAAGTGTCAAAGAACATAGTTTATAATGAATTTTCCACACACATTTAACCGGAATTGAATTCCTATTAATCACATTTAAAATGCTGTGTTGTTTGAACAACTTTTCATCTAAACAGAATTTATAAGCCATGTAAATTTAGAGATGAAGAAAGATCCTCTCTAGATCCTTTTCTGGGCTTCTGTTACTGCATAGTAGAACTCACAGCTTTAGGGGCTGGATGCTGACAGGAAGGGGGCGACTTCGATCAGTTTGGTAGTCTGGAGGCGTTTCAAAGAGCAATGTGTGAGCACGTTGTGACCCATCTGGGTTGGGGTGAACAGGGCCGGGACTGGACAGAGCTCGCTGGATCATGATGTGCAGTGGGACAGGGGCTGGGCGTTGGGGTGACTCACTGACAGGACTTGGGGGATCAAACAAGATTGGTATAGGTTGGGGCAGTGGGTGCGGATAAGAGTGCTGAAGATGAGGGTGGTGGGGGTGTATTTGTTGTCGGGGTGGAGAAGGAGGTATGTGCGACGGAAGCGGAGGGGATGGAGGAGCGGGAGGCAGCTGAAAGCTCACAGAGCTGTCGTCCTCAAGAGAAAGTGGCGAGGGCGTGAGGGGATGGCTTGAAGCGGAGGAGTCATCGGTGTTGCGTTTGGTGACAGGGGTGGTTCTCTTTGGAGGCATTGGAGGGGAGGGCTTCGCTGGGACAACACTGGCACCCCCGGCAGCTTGGGTGAGGTCACCTGAGGACAGAAGCAGTTACATTGAATCCTGAAGCAAAATGTAAAAGCTCTTCGGCCATGAAGTGATTGTCCCAGCCTTTGTTTTATGCTTCTGCTAATGTGGAATGAAAGCACATGCTTCTTCAGCTGTAAACATTGGATACATCCCGTTTGACATAATACAATTTAACAACTGGAATTACATGTCTGACTGAGCATGAATGCTTCCAGAGAATGACATAACTGTGTCAACATGGATGCACACATTGATCTAACACGCTAGTGTTCAACATGTGCCCCATGTCACAGAGACGTAGAAGACAAAAAAAACAGCCCGCATGCTCAACACAGCCAAACTTGGTGTCTTGTCAGTGACAAAAACTTTGTGGACAGGCAGCTCACAAGCACTCAAGTGACATGCACAATTTTACCATATTATTTATTACTAATAAAATGTATACAAAGGCCTTGAAGTCAGGTTTATGTTAAGTCAGAGCCGTGGTGAGTGCTGAGAAACCATAAGCATGCGAGTGCCAGATAAGGTCTTGAGTCAACCATTATGCTACAGTCTTTATTGTCCATTCATTCATATCCATCCCATTCGAGCAGCAGAGTTGAGCGGATTACATCCTTAAAATTCCATTGATGCATTCATCGCAAGCCAGGCCGCAGGCCTGCTAATGGCTCACTCTGATTCACATGCCAAACTAGAGTACCAAACTAAATACGTTCAACAACAAGAGCATTTGCCTTTTATATACATGAAGCAAACAGCGCACACATTGTCTGCTCAGTATGGGCATGCAACTTGTGTATCTCACATTGAAGGGGACGCAAACAAGGTCCATCAGGAAAAAAAGACATTAGGAATAAAATATGCGGACAGCTAGAAAAGACGCCATATGATGAAGAATGCGGACTCTGAAGGGGAGGGGGGAGTTCAGACATTGAACACCCTGCTTACAGATACCAGAGTGCATCCTTTTACCTGAGCGCAGGCCTCCAGCCCGCCGGCACAGGTACACAGGCAGGGAAAGATAGACATCGTACTCGCACTCTCGCTTCCAGCAGGACCAGTAGAGCGGAAGCTGTGCGTGCTCTCCACCCTGTAGGGCGGAGACTAAGAAGGAGGAGATGGAGGCCTTCAGCTCTAGTGTTTTAAAGACTGGATACATGGCTACTCGGTTTATGTATAGAGTGCCAAGGGATGTTAAGACACTGTCAACTTAATATAAATTGGCAGAAAATTCTCAGTAATACTGACAGCTCCTGCAATACATGTTCGAAACATCTGTTTTACTTATAAGATTCTCACAGAATAGTCAGAAAGAGAGTAAGATTGTTTTTTCTTTCCAAGCCACCAAATGAGTACTGTACATGCCGTGATGTTCAAAAAAATGTCTCACAGCAGCCGCACAAGCCAGAAACTTTGCCCCCCCCCCCCACACACACACACACAACAACGAAACTCGTAAAGTTGAATCATCCTAAAGATTAACAACGATCAAAGTAGACAGCCTCACCTCATTTGGAATTAGCAAACAATCTCATAAGAAAAAACGGCCACTGAAATGCAGCCTTGTGAACTATGGCTCACACAAGAATCCGTTTTGTTCAGAGAGTCAAATGCTGAAAACAGTTGTGGCTACAATAGCCTTGGTGCATTAAGTCATTTGCTGATTAAAAAAAAAAACAAAACAAAAATGCACAAATGTTTAGATTCATTCAGGCAATGATTCCCAACCAGTATGCATCTGCAGAGATTATCAGTATAAAAAGGGATGATCCAATTTCACTTAATCAGCCCCAAAAATATTTAGTTACCGTACGATAAGTATTGTACCGGTAATTAGAACTGGGGAAGAAGGGGAGGAAAAATAAGCCAACAAACTTGGCATGGTTGACCACAAAATTGGCTGACACATAAATTTTCGCCTAGATTCTTAAAATGATCTCTACAATGTACAGGGAGCCAGTGAAGGGAGGACACAATTGCAGTTTTGTGCTCCCTTCTACGAAGACCAGTTAGGAAGAGAGCAACTGCATTTTGGACCAATAGAAGATGCTTGAGAGAAGACTGCTCAGAGAGGTATGGTTGGGTGATACCATTTAAAGAGTTGAAAACAAATAAAATAATCTTGAAAATAACTCTAAAATGAGCCAGTGAAGTGACACCAGAGTAGGCGTTATGTGCTTCCTCTTACGAGTGGCAGTCAAGAGGCGAGCGGCAGCATTTTGGACCAACTGGAGATACATCATGGAGGATTGCTGACTCCAAAATAAAAACAAGATGCAACAGAGGCATGGATTTCTGTTTTTAAGTGCTGTTGAGAAAGGAGAGGCTTTACCCTTATCTGGCTGCCTAAGATGAAAAAAGCTGGATTTATCAACAGCGCCAGTTTGCTGGTCCAATTTAAAATCACTGTCCCATTTAAAAGTTCGAGACTGTTGGCTTTAGATAAGGAGGTGCCAGGGGGTCTATGTCAGCAAAGTGTGAGGGGCCATTGGGACCAAAAACGATAACTTCTGTTGGCTTTTCAATAAAAATCAAGAAATTCAGTGCCACCCAGGCCTAGATTTCCTCCAGAGAGGACAAATGTGGCCTTAATGAGAAAGCGTTCATTTTGCTCAGCAGGACATAGATCTGACTGCCATCCGCCTAGCAGCGGAAGGAAATAGCATGTTTTCTAAGGATGGAGCCCAGCGGCAGCAAATATAATGAAAACAGCAGAGGTTCCAAACTTGAACCATGTGGAACACCATACGACAGTGGGGCAGAGTGAGGCTTGGTGCAACTTAAGGCTAACACCAAAATGTTGTGTCTGCCAATTGAGGTATCGTAAATAAAATAAATAAGTAAAATACATGAAATTGTTGCAGTTAAAAAGATGTATTATATAGAAAAATATCAAACCGTGACACTAACGTACCAAATCGAACCATGTATCGATGCACCACCCGATCAAGTCGTCATCATTGTGAAAGCACAACTGAGGAAACCTTACCCAGCATGCCAGGGTTGCCCCTGTTCACCGGCTTGGGCGGAGGCAGAGGTGGCTGCTTGGTGCCCTGAGAGGCGGACGACGAGACTGCAGATGAAGACAGCTGTGTGGTCGTACCAACAGCTGAGGTGTTCCTTGTAGGCTTGGGTGCAGTACTCAGGGATGCAGAGAGTGATGGGTACTGGGCCGAGCTGTGGTTCGATGGGGGGCGAAGTGGCCCCTCGCTGCCTGGTTCAGGCGTAGAGCTTATCAACCATTTTGGAGGCATGACGGACTGTTTAGGTGGCAGAGGTTCACGAAGGGTGTCCTTCAGTGCTTCAGGGTCAGGGACAAAATGGCTGTCTGATTCTATGAAAACATGACACCATCTTAGATATATTACATAAGTATTCATTTTTCAACATTACCCTTCAAATCGAAATGTATAGTGATTTGCCACATTTAGGATGTTCTTATTTCAGATGCACATTGTCTGGAGTGTGCATTTGTGTGTTGATTAAAAAAAACAAAACAAAAAAACAATAGCCTGTGCATATATATCATAGTTAGGATTTAATCTATATTTTTAGATTGAACGAAGGAAAACAAACACCCTATTCGTGAATCTCATTTTGAGATGATTTTAAAATCTTAACGTGAGAAAAACTGTTGAGTGACACAGCAGTGAGCCATTTGCTGCCGTTTTAGGATTCCAACCATGAACAGTGATAGCACTTGTAGAATCACATTACCGCGGGATCAGCAGCGAGAATAAACAGCGTAGGTTTACTGCAATTGCCACACACTAACACAACCCTCAGCCAGGCCCAAACATATCTGAGTCAACCCACATTCTTTTGCAAATCCCATACGTCAAAGCTAAAAGCTGTGACAAAAATTTCTGATAACTGTATTTATTTATAGCCCAGCCGATGCAGTTGTGTTTTTAAGCATCTTAAGTGAAGATTAGAAGTGAGTGTCAATTGGCGCTGGTTGTCCAGTCGTGAGTCTTTCAGTATTTGGGAAGTGTTATACCATTTTACTAGAAATTTTCATCGTATTATTCCAAATTCACACGGGGATCTTCTCAACTGTAATTCAGGCATTCAAATGCAAAACAACAGAATAAAAATCTAAAGTGGCCCCTTTGTCAGATGAGGCACAACCTGTCTCTAAAAGAGCATTTAACATCACTGTTTCACTAAGTGTAATGTTGCTTAAAATCAATTCACTGTGTCTTTTCACCACCTATCCCAGTCTAAAATTTCTCTACAGCGTTGCGTTAAAGGGCAATGAAGAGTATCGTGATTGTGCCACATTAATTAGGAGAGGAGATGAGAGGACGAGCTATTCCCCAATGTTCCTGAATAAGAAGATGGAGCAGGACTCCAGGGAGCTGCCAAGAACCTCTCTCTTATTTGAGAGGACAGCACCAGCCAAGTACGCTAAAACATGCATGATGTCATCGTTTAAAACTTCTACATTCCTTTCCAGGAACAATGTCTAAATGGGGGAGGGAGGTGGCATGGGGGTGCAAAAATGACTCACCTCTACGGGCCCTTCCCTCTTCTGCAGATGCATGTCGGGGGAGTGTAGGCTTCCAATCTACATCAGCCGGTCGACTCCTCCTGCCATCCTCTGAGGGTGCTTTCTGCAGCCCAGGCCTTCTCTGTCCATCTTCAGGGTAAAACTGGCCTCCACTTCTGCCTTCATCCATCTGATTGTGAATCTGTCCATGCCACGATGTGTTAGGCTTCCGCTCTGCCTCCCCATGTACACGGGGCCCAATCACCCCGCTTCCTCTTTGCACTTCTTCCGGGGGACCGGAAACCCTGGAGTTTGAAACTCTTCGGCGTTCAGCATCTGGGGGTGATCGGCCCCTATGGTCGTCTGAATGGGCCAGCCAAGTAGGGGTTATTCTAAATTCTGAATCAGAGGGCACTCGGCCCTGGTTACTCCTTCCAGCACTAACCCCCACTCCTACATTCACGGGCAGAGTGTGGCCGTTCTTCACATAGGGCTGCTTCAGGCTTTGTGCTGCTCCATCCGCATCTAAAGAAGGAGAAAATGTCAGTCTTCCCTTCATTTGACTTTCAGACAACGCATAAAGTCATTTCAATCAGTAATGTGTCGATGGTGTGGACCTGATAGATGCTTACAGTGTGTATGTGGTTTATCAAGAATAACTGCATCCAAAAGTGTTTTTTGTTACACTGGTTGTATAAGCTTATAATAGCCCAAGAACCTAGTCCAAACAAATGTCCAGATGACATGACAGCTAATGCGCGCAGCCATATTTGCCTGCAAGAGGCAGAGCCATGCCGTGACGACGTTGACAACCGTCTTGGCCCAGCCGTTTCCCCAATTCAACCTCGCACTTTCTTGGTCAGATTCTGAGAAATTAGAGGCATTCTAGCAATTTTCCAGCATCAATACTGACGGAGGGTTCATCAATCTGTGATTGACGACCCCCGTTTTGTTCTGTGTTAGGCGTCGAGCAGGTGCTGTAACCCATAATAAATAAACGGCAGACGGAAGCCTCTCTATGATGAGAGTCAGGTTACATCCTCTCTGTTTAAATAAACACACAGAAATATTGGAATCTGGACGCCACACTCATGGCCTTTTAACCAGCCTGGGGGGATCCCGGGATGTCGTACCCAATATCACACCATGCATTAAAATGAACTTTTAGGGATTATTTTGACAAATACAAGACTAGAAACAAAAAGTGGGAACACCAGCTATTCATCAAACTTCACAATATTGCTCCTTTTCTCCATCAATACTTGGAAATGGGCTACCCGAAGTTCAATTTAAGTCATTAACATGGAGGACACTATTTAGTTGCAACCAGCATCGGCCATTAACCCAAACAACAATTAATGCTGGGAAGTTATGGACCAGGGGTCACCAATGTGTTGCCCATGGGCACCCGGTAGCCCCCAAGGACCACATGAGTAGCCTGCGAGTCAGTTCGAATTATTGAGACATCATGATCGTCTAGTAATGTTGTACAAGTATAATGTAAACACTGGCAGAGACTTATAGTAATAAAGTGTTGCATGATATTTATCCGTTTCCTAATTATTGTGAGAAATCATTAAAGTAATCGTGTCTTCATATACCATAAATGAACACCATTCTTAACAATCACATCAAGGTATTTAAGCAAATTTGTTATTTCAGAAGTGTGTGTCAAACTGGTAGTCCTTCACATTAACCTGTACCCAAGAAACAGCTCTCAGTTTGGGAAAAGTTGGAGACCACTGCTGTAGACCGACTAAATTTGGTCAATTGTATAAAACACCATGCATAGCCTGCATGATCTATATGGATGTAATGAGAAGTGATTTGAAAATGCCATTGACATTTCAGTCATTTAACAAAGACGTTTCCAGCATACTATGCACAGGCATTCGCTTATTTTAGAATACTATCATTTAAAAGGGAATACAACCCAAAAACTATGCAATCCTCATAGTCTAAACAAGCCATTCTGATTAATATTGTGTTTGGGGAACATGAGTTAAGCAGTACAATCCACCCGTTTTTGTTCATCTTGGGGCAGGCGACAGTTTTGCCACTTGCTGTTGACTGAAAAAGACATCAGTTTCTCAGGGCTCAGGTCACAACCAATCATGGCTCAGCTTCAGAAACCAGGTGTCTCGAACTGACAGGCGTCAAGGGTTAAATATCCTGGTATTTAGTTCTATGTATATTCCATAGTGAAAGGAATCAATGGTTCCAATCATTTCGTCATAAAAGCCTAGTCAGCAAAGTACATTAGACATGAGTATGTGTGAGCGTGGGTTGAAGTGATGAAGGAGCGGATGTAGGTTTAAGAAAGGGGCTACTGCAGAGCAGCGGGGCCTGCATTATGATTGCATGTGCCCCTTTCGAAGCCACTTTGCTGCAGCGCACCATTTGTTCCACGTTCTCAGCTCTCGAGAGCCATATTAAAACAGATATTACACTACTTTTAAAAACAAGGCAACAAGCAAGGTCAAAGGGCATCTGATATTTTCTAAGTGCGTCTCAGACTCCTGCTGAATGACAGTACAGTGTTCCTGCAATTTATGTACTCATGACTTCACTTTGCCGACTGTGTGGGTGTGACAGCCTCAGCAGTGCTGCACTAGATTACAGTGGATACGGACACTGCTGTGCAAAGATCAGATGAATCAGAGAACCTGTACCGTTGTCTGGAGCTTCTTTCAGCACCCCCTGATCTATAAGTTCTTGCCGGGTACGCCTCGTCGACATCCTTCTCTCCAGCTCTGCCATATCGACAAAGATATATGGCAGCACATTACAAACATTGTTATGGTGCTCATTTATTAGTTGCATGTTCAAAAAAATGCAAGTTTGGAATAACATCAAATCGTATCACACAAGCACTTATTGTCGTCATTCAATCTGGGCTGCAATCACGGTACGTTGCACCATGCATTGTGGGGTTTAAAAAGCTAAGTGAGTGGGAGAGGTGGGGGTGTTGACATCACTCCAAACACAATTAAAACCACAAACCTTCTGACGCTTCCTTGAATTTCTCGCTGCTTTTCTTCTTTCGCCACTTCCATGGCTTGAAGATCTTGCCAAGGTTGGGGAACTTGCCCTTGCGTTTTGGGGGAGGGGTGCTGTCTCCCGTGCTGCTCGTCTCTCCCACCATCGTGCCGTGGTGCTGCTCACTTTCATCATCTGAAATGAAAGCGATAATGTGATACAAGTGAGCAGTCAGAGCACAAAACTGTGGTACAATGCGATCCTGTGGTACAATGTGATCAAATTTTACTTCTGAGTCGTCTTCAGCATGTATGAGATCCCGTTAGACTAGAATATTTGACAAGGGCCAGGCCTCAACAAATCTCTGCATCAACTCGGCAAACAATTGATTCCTTCTGATCGGTGACCAAAGGATTAACCACATGTTTTGCTTTTGAGGAGAGATTTTTGCAACACTAATTCCAAAGAACCAGCTTCAACAAAGGGCGTTGTATGTCAGAAGAGGTTAAACTACAAAAGTTAGCACAACCACATTGTCATGTGTTGTTGCGTTTTGGGGGGGAAATCATTGAAAGGGTTGTTGATGCAAAACCATCTGTTTTATGCATTTCATTCTGGACTTAAATACCATACATCCTAATAATGAAGCCTTCAAAATCACTGTCTTGGTATTGCTAGATCTCAGTGCTACATTTAAAAACATGATTGTTTACTGCCATATTCTCATGAATCTCTCCTTTATTTCATTTTAAACCCCATTTGCAAGCGGTCTTTTCATTCCGCTTGAATGGTGCCTGGTTTTCATCAACTTAATCTAATTATTTTTGCAATGTCTTTATATTTGGTTTCTCTTTATGTAATGATTTTAATGTTTTGTGGAAAGCACTTTGAATTGTCTTGTACATGAAATGCGCAATATGAATAAACTTACCTTGCATTCTAAAAGTTCAAGTCAAATGTTTTCTTGTTTTTGCACGTTATTTTTATTATTTTATCTTTTCTTCTTTGTAAACTTGTTTTTAATCTATATTATAGTACTTAGTTTATATTTAGTGTTATGTAACAGTTAAGAATGTTAACAAAAAAGATTAGTTAAAGAATTACAGTTATCAAACTTTTTTGGGGGGTGGGGAGTGGACTGGTAGCATAACTATTTCCATTCGTTCTTTGGGGAAATTCTTTTCAAAAAATAACCACTAACTGTCAACAGTTTACCATCATCCTGGGGTATATTGTGCACAACCCCAGAGGTTGTGCTGTATTTTCTTTCTCATCATGATCAGAATGCAGGCTACAGGCAAAGATTACGCTTGTGTAGCGACCGCTTTAACAAATCCACAAATATGACCATCAGGAGAGATTTGTTTTTATTACATTTTCGCAAAATTAAAGGCCACTGCAATTTTGTAGAACAAATGTTTTATATTGAAGAATAATAGGAAAAGAAAAGGACATTTTCTTCAAAAGTTTGACCGTTTAAGTAAACAAGATATGGTAGAAATAAAGAAAGAACCAGAACTGTGAGAGAAAGTGAACCGAGTGAACTAAAGTTTGGAAAAAAGCTACTGAGATTTGAAGACACGCAACTATATTTGCGCTGTGCACAGTCAATAATTGGTGTTCAATTGAGACTTGTCCTGGGTTGAAGGCAATTAAACCGTTTCATACCTAGCAAGGGTAATACAGAAATGTTCGCAAGGCTTGAATAAACAAAATGGGCAACTCTGAGGACAATAAAGCTCCCCAAAAATTGGCAATAATCTGGCAATTTCAACTAAGGTTATCTACGGCCTCCAAAGAAGACAAACAGTATTCTTACTAAAGACAGTTATTATCTTTAGCTCAGTGGTCTCGAGGACTGAGTGTGCTTTGGCAGGGTGATGCCGAGAGCTCATGGACACTCCTCATATCCAGTTAACGAGAGGGCTCTGTGAGTCTGACGTTCAGCGAGAGTTCACAAACATTCCTTGGTGTGGCGGAGACAAGTACCTTATCAGTCTTCCAGCCCTTGCGGCCCCAATAGAGAAATAAAGTACACGCGTGGATTATGTCAGCACAAATGACTGAGTCATGTTTGCGTGCTGCATGATTCAAGAAGGAGCAGTTGAAAATGAAACTTGGTTAACAATCATGATTACATACTCTGAATAGGTGATTGACAAGCATCCTGAAAACGACAGGATACTGCGAGGTTAAATGTTGGCGCTCTCAATGGAGCAGCTGCTGAATTCAGCAGGCATAGTGTGTGCCTCTGCTCTGCATTTCAAAACATCCAGTCGCATGCGCACATACAGGACGACTTGCCAGCACTAATACCTTTAGGTCCGATTCCAACAATGTAAATCTTGAAATGCTGATGTGGATTACAGTACTCAGTATCCAAACGGAAATTCTCCACAGCATACTAGCAGCTCAGTTCTGCTAAATGGCCTCGCTTTACTTTTTCAATTCTAAACAGTATCACTAGATATTATGAAAACCACACAGCGCTGAAGGTATGAGTTGGAACGAGACACGCATCAATGCCAACAGAGGAGGATGGGGGTTTCCTACTTTTGCTTCTCAGCATACGACGGCCACAGTCACTTGCAGATATGACAAATATCTTATAATATTGCGGCATTCAGAGCTCAGACATTGTTATTTTGAAATGCTAAGAGATACTACCTGGAAAGTGACTGTTAAGTGTCCAGCTTCCATGGTGGCGGGTTTTAAAACAGCATGCCATGGGAAAGAATAAACCCCCAAATTCAAATAAGTGGATGTATCCAAACAGTTGAATCACTACAGAGGAAAACGCCAGGGAGGCTCGACGAAGGAAAGCGTTGAGTCGATTCAGATGCGGTCGAGGTTCAAGCGATGTGTCCGCACTGAGGAACTTCGGCTTATAATGGCATTGTAAAGGGCAGCTGCTATAATATCCCAATAAATCGCTGCACTTGCTGTCCAAATGTTTGCCGCACAGCCGACTGAGTCACAGTGCCTCAGCTGAAGCCAGTCAAGCAGGATAAAAGCAGGCTGTGCCAGGCTAGCGCACACCACGGCACTGCAGAGGTGACAATTACTCAGCTCGCGGAGTAGGCATCCATTCGAGAAAGATGACTGACTAAATTCTTTGAAGACAAGCACTTAAGCCTGATGAAATTATCCCACTAAACCACACACAAAAAAAAAGTACAAAACATCCAAATATGATTTCCCATTCACGAGTGTGGCAGAACAGCTCAGTTATTCTTCACAGATGGGTTTCAAAATGTTCGTTTTTGTGGCCGAGCCTGAGCAAGCGTGAAACTGGAAATGGGCGTAAAAGGGAAAAAGGCATAAAAAGTAGAAGAGTGAAGGGGGCAGCCTGGAAACACAGGGAGGAAACGACACTCCACCCTGATTCTGTGACAGAACAAAGACAACCTCTTCCCCTCGAAAACCATAATTCAGGCCACTGTACAGCTCAGTCACACAGCTCTGCAAGGACCAATCCAGTGACACTCAGTCACTCAGTGAAGATCATTACCACTGCATGTTAACACATTAACAATGTCCTGCCCGTGTATAACAAGTCTGTGCAAAACTCTGCAGGAGTTCTGGCTGCCGTACTGTGTAATCAGAAGCTGCAAAGATAAGGTGCCAGAGTCAGGAAACACGGGGGCGTGTGACTCTAGGAGGCCACACCTACTGGTCCCATAAACATGCGTCAGGGAAGTTCGATTTCCCCCTGACCTCATGGTTCCATGAGTCATGACAGCCTTGGTCAGGTGAGCATGTTATCACATTAGAATGCTGTTTGGAACAAAAAAGGAAAAAGAAAAAAAAACGGCCTACGCTTTTAGCCAATCTGCTTGCCAATCCTTCCGGATCATTACATAATAAGCAACCTGCATTAATCACCAAACCTTTGGCAGAGAAGATTATGCCACTTAAATTAACGCAGCTCTTCCGTTTCAAAGTTTAAAAAACAATGCGATCTCAAAGCAGACAAATGTAACTGCAGTGGATTGTAATCAAAATTAAAATATTGAAGTCAACCAAAAATGTATGAATGAATGGACCATACCAATATTGATAGTGCTTTCATTTGTGGAACAACTGCAATGCTGTATTTTAACTGTGAAAAATGAAAAGATGAAAAGATGTTTTTCCCCATTACTTCATTTCACTGTAAACATGTAAATGTCATGTTGAACATTTTAACAGATGAAAATAAGTGCGCAACACATGCTCACAACTACATGAAAACACAGCTGACATTCCTCCACGTGATCCCAGTGATTTAACATTCCTGGTGGTGGTAAAGTGAAGGGGAAACCGACAAGGAAAGATGGCGAGAGAGAATGAGGGAGAGAGAGACTGTGAATTACTTGGTGAAAAACGAATACATGTAACTAACCGTGATTTCTCTCTCTTCGCAGCAACGACACGAAAAAAAACCCCAAAACACTTAAAAGGTAAGTCATGCATTTGTGTCCTGAAATGGAGAATATAGACTGAGAGGCTAGAAATGAGTGCAGACACTCACCACCATTGTTATGTTGTAGTGGTTCCTGAGCCGGGGTCTCCACACGGAGACTCTGTCCCATGGTCTATCCCCCTGCGGGGTTTCTACCTGTCTTCAGTTCAAATGCATGCAACCTGGATAAACATGGGGCCGCACCTGCCTTCCTCGTCCTTAAATGAATGTCCTCAAGTCTCCCCAAGCTCAAGTTCTTTCTTCCTCTCAGAGTTCCTGTTGTCTACCCTTCCTCAATTCCTTTCAGTACTCCCCTCGCCCCCTCCCTCTTTCAATCTCCTTAAGTCCTCCCCTCCCTGCAAGAACTGGACTCCCTCCCCACATCTGACCCTCCCTCATTGGCTCATAGCGCAGGTCAGTAGTCAGTGAAAGATGCCAACCATTCTTGGGAAAGCTGAGTTATGTTTTAAACAAGGCGAGTGAGTATGTACGGCAATGGGCGCGACAAACATGAAACCACAAAAAATACTCACGTGGAACGAAATAAGATGCTGCTGAAACTAAAGTACTCATTTACCAACCTGTGAATTTGTAATCTAATTGGGATAGATACTGCAACTGAACACTGTCAGCGGACATGGGTTCATAAACAATCACACCTGTTACAAAGTGTCGGAGAAATTGGATGAAATAAGATAAAAGATACATTTGTTGGTCACTTAGAATGCTGTTTACCTTGTATGTAGCATTCTGTTTTTTTAGAACTAGGAAATACTGTTTACCAATGTGCTCAGCCCTCTCATTGCAGCCAAGCACAGTTTATCATACGTCTCCGACTGTCTCATGACTATTCTTAACAGAATTAGCTTAACTTACTTGAAATGTTTACCAAAGGAACTGCACAAAGACAAGACAGTCACACGGCAGGGTGCAGTGGACCCCAAGAATGTGCTTTGATTCCCTCTGAGGTTTGAGTGCCTTCAGAAAACCTTGTCCAAGTTTGCCTAATAGGAGTCCTAAGCACCGAGCTGCATCACGGATGGCTTTTTCTTACTATTTGGCTGCATCTCGGCTGTTTCTAAAAGATGGTGAGCTAGTGTGTGCATTCAACAGTGTTCCTTTTCTCTTTGGGTGCCCCACATACAGCCTCCACACCGGGCCAGCTTCCAGAAAGAGCTGAGCCAATCCGCATGAGCCCAGAACCTGTTGGCCTGACCTGGATAACAGACTGGGCCAGACCTCAGCAAAAACAGGCAGCATACTGGAGCAGGTTCTATGTTGTTAAGCACATACAGTATGTATACAGACACATGCACACACACATGCAAAGGCAAATACTCTTTGAAGCAATGAGTCATTTGTTTCAAATGTACTTGCACTAGAAGGATTGTATCGATTTTATAAGTGACAGCGGGAAGTTATTAATCACTGTCACTGAGGAAGGCTTGTTTAGTTATCCAATTTGAAAGCAATTACTAATGTGAAACAACATCATTTAAATATTGTACACAAAACATAAATCACTGCTGTTCGAAAGCAACGTTGAAGATGTAAGGGAATAAAAGCCTCTTTTTGCATGGTATGGTACAAGAGATGCTTGAGTGATATAGGTGATCCCTTTGCTAAAGTACCAACCCATTTAGAAATAAGCAAAAATTCATACTTAATTTGAAATTGCATCACTGAAAATTTTTCTAGACAAGACATTCCATTGTCACAGTTTCTCTTCTACTCATTATATGATAAATTATGAAATATAATGAGCATATAAGTATGCCCTGTTTTTGAAAGTTTAATGGGTTAACATAAGTTGAGTTTCGAGACTCCACCTTTTCATCCGGCTGTGACAACAAACTAACATACTAATGAACTTCAAATGACACAGCCCTCCAGCTATTGCAGCATAAACACTTGACACGAGGCTAATGTAGAGCAAAAAACAAATGGACCCACAGACTGAGGCCCTGGAGATGTGTGGCTGCATCCCTGAGTGGCTCATAAAATGTCCACAAGCTAGACAGACCTCATAAACACTGTGGCTATACAGGAAAGTGTGTCTCCAAAGCTTTTTCTGCAGCATTAACACAGCACTTAAAAAAAAAAAAAAAAAAAAAAAAAAAAAAAACCTCAATGGACATCTTGGTACTCACCACGATTTTCCATCACAGATATTGAGGCGTACCAATCAAATGTTCCTGAAAAACAACATACACAAAGCTTCAGTTAAACAAGTCAAGATGGAGGCAGGATTTATGTTGCTCCACAACAAATAACAATGAAAGACTGATTGTAGAAATGTCATAAAAAAAGGTAAACATACACAGCAGAAAGTCATGAGTGGGGGTGGCAGATTTCCTCGGCAGCAATATTGAATTCTGTCCCCCTTAGGTTGCCAGCAGAGAGACAAGTGATGCTCCACCCATTTCATCCACCCTTGACAAAGAGAAGCAGAAGGCAAGAAAAGGATGCCACACAAAATTAAGTGGGATCTGCTTCAGAGAGTATCAACATATTACAAACAATTCTGCAATCTGCAGGTTAATATTGCAATCGTAAAAAAGGTGGAAACAGAAGCAGGGTTGTTATTTCTTCATATTTACTGTCTATGACGCACATACGGAAGAGAGGGCAATCTTAATTATCAGGAAACAGAAGTAAATAATAAAATGAATCATTTATCTACAAAACGAGCTGGAAATTGCATTAGAACAAAAGAGTCAGGGGAGGGAAAAACACATCTTGATGATTTATTTATAGCGCTGAAGCCAAGAGAACACAACGTCAAGCTTTTCAAATGTTTCTGCGGATAAGGTCCTATCATTTTTGGTGTCTGTACAGAAAATCCATTTAAGAGGAGTAAAGTTAACATCATTACGCATATTCACAAGTGTATAAATGCATATTTTCCGAGGGATGCACTGACAATTCAGTGTATGAATATTGTCCAAAAGTGCATTTTCGGCTTCAGTCCGAAAGTCATTCGGCTGAAACAGGATGTTGGAATGATGCTGGTTTGCGTTGACGGCCTGCTGAAGTAAACAAAAGGTGGTGCCATGACACGGGGAAAAGAGCCCAGAGCGAAAATTCCTCTGCCACGGCAGCAGGCCATTGGCCCAAGAGGAGACGTCTGCTTGGACAGCGGCCACCGAAGACTGTCCCTCCAGCAGCCGTGAAAGCCTGCGCATTGCTTGGAAGGAATCAATGAGTGCTTGCACTACGTTCACACTGGGAGGGCACGATACAACCACTTCCTGCTTCCATGTCTAAGAATCATGGGAAACATAGTCCGACTAGCCTATTATTGCAGGCAGACCAACGCAAACTGAGCATACCGATGTTTCATTGTTGGACCAACGCCAAGTAATAGCTGCCGTGACCAGGGTTGACGAGCACTGTTCAAACTTTTTTTTTTTTTTAGCCTGTCAGAGGATTTCCTCGTCTTCTGCCCTCAAAACAATCCCCGCGTAGTTGCACGGCAAACAAAAAGCAAGCCTAGACGTTTGGCGTCTGGTCTGAATCTCGCACAACAGCGCCAAATCTAACAAATAAATATATGACAGAATTACACTATTTAACATACATGCTTCACAAAGCTGTGCGGTGAAAATGTTTGAAAATAGAGCCGTTCATTAATATTCAATTCACTTCCAAACACTATTTGTCCCCATGGGCCAATTCAAAAGGAAAAAGCAGCATTAAAAAAAAATTATAACACCAACAAATACAATAACATTCAGTCAGTGCTGCAGTTAAAATATTGCCGCTACTGTCCAGTAATGTGCTCTTTGCTGGATGCTAAAGTGCAATGCGTCACAGTCGGGACAGGGAGGGGTCATTGTTCCAGAGCTTGATTGCTCTCAGGACAA